CATGACGTTCTTGGCTTGTTCTCGCTCGGTTCGTAATCAACAGAAAGCCACGGTGAGCCTCTCTGCATAAATGTTCTCATAAAGACAGCAGACACATTCAGTAGCGCAGTCTAATATTTCATGTTAACATTTAAACTCTGCCGCTGAGATAAAGGCTGCTAAATCAAGCATATTATTAGCCGCTGTACTTTATTACTTCCTTTATTAATTTAAGAGCTGATTAGCATGTTCCTTTTAAACGTTATAATTATTTCTGGGGCAAATATCCATTCTGTTCACTAAGATTAAAGTTAAAGATGTGAAAGTTTCTCGAGTACAATTTCCTGACATTTCTGTATAATATCCTTTTCTGACTTGACGTTAAATAATTTTTCTCAAATCTTAATTTTGTGCTTCACAACCTTTATGATGTTTTTTTCTAAGGCACAACCTTAGAACCAGAAGACAACGTAAAAAAATAAAAATAAAAAAAAACTTATTATTGATTACATTTATTTCTATATTTTATCTTGCTTCCATGATAATGTCAAAAGTTTTTGTTCCGATGAAAGATTAAATTAAACTTGTTCTGTTGAATTGTGCACAATCAAACCATGCACATTTATTAAAGTACATCAAATATGGTTAAAAAACTAATTAAAAGATAAAAAATATAAAAAATATTTATCTGCTAGATGAATTGTGCACAATAACACCTTGAACATTCATTTAAAAAGTACATTGTGGTACAATAAAAAAATACAATAAAAAAATACTTTTACTACTGTTTATCTCCTAAATGAATAACTGTAAATGTTATTGCACATTATTCAATGAAAGATTAATTTATTTTAAAAGCGTCTATGAATTGTGCACAATAAAACCTTTCATGATATTAAATAAATTATTTTACAAATTAATAAATTATTTTTTAAAAATAGTAGAACTTTTGTGTTAATTATTGAATGAATGAAAATGTTATTGCACACATTATTTTAAAAAAAGGCTTTATAGTCTTTCATCAAAATGTAGTAACTTACAATGACTTTTCTTTTTAGCTGACATCATGATCCCCTCTTACTTTTCAACTCCTCGAATCCAATCACCGGCCATATGGATAAAACCCACAGAAGTACACAGGGTTAAAAACTAAATGACATATTGAGTCTACATTAAAGAGAGCCACTTAAATTTCACCCAGCGCATTAGACTTATGAAATAAACCAAAACTCTGTGTGTAGAACAGGAACTTGAATTATCAACCTGTTGTGGGACTTCAACTGAGTGAGATCAGTAGCAGAAACTCACACAAGCCTGCAGCAGAAGCTTCCCCGATAACTAAACTATCAGATGTATAGTGTTTTGAGAACTAAACCCAACAACATATTGTCCTCCACATGCATATTTCTCAGATCCGCCCTCGTTCACAGAACAATGGTACGCGCAGAGAACAAGGAAGAGCATGAATCTGGGAAAAGAAAAACACTGACGGAAAGAACAAATGTGAATGGGATTTGTCTCGAGTTTCCTTCTCCTACAGAGCAGCACAATCAGCCCAAATGAGGTGAAATTACCAAACAGTTGCAAAAGTAAACGTTATATCCATCACCCGCCTGAAATAAACAATCACAGCATGCAGATTAACAGCAGTGATTCCATTTAAAACGCTTTCAAAATCAGCCACAAAAGAACGGAGTAATTTAGCAGAAATCCTTTACTAAAGCCCGTCGCATACCGTGCGATTTTCCTTGCTCTTTACAATGAAACTCTTTTTCATACACTGTGATGGCGCATTACTGAAGTTATTAACATGGTAACGTTTGTTGTTGTTGTTGTTTAAAAGATGTAATGTACATTTATAAAACTATTACCTTGGCATTAAAGGAGACATATTATGCTCCTTTTTACAATATGTAATATAAGTCTCTGGTGTCCCCAGAATGTGTCTGAAGTTTCAGCTCAAAATACTCCACAGATAATTTATTATATCATTTTGAAAATGCCTATTTTGAGTGGAAGAAGAAACACGCTGTTTTTCGGGCCTGTTTCTTTAAATGCAAATGAGCTGCTGCTCCCCGCCCCCTTTTCCAGAATAGAGCTGTGCCATTACAGCTCTGACCTGCTAAAAAACTACTGTTTTGGTTCTGATTATCATGTTTATCGCACTGAAATCATATGAGTTTAAACTTCAGATATAAGGTTTTCTGAGAGCACACATCCGAAGCACACGGACAGAAAGCGGCTGTCACAGCACGTGAATGGGTGGAAATGTGCAGATTAAGGGGCGGTAATATTATAATGAGATCCCTTTGCCACGTCACTAGGGGAGCGAAATCAGACGCCATCGTTTTTTCAGACGCTTGCAGAAAAAGGCTTACCAAAACAAAGTTACTGGGTTAATCTTTTTCACGTTTCCTTGGTTGGTAGATGCACCGGGGACCTGATTATAGCACTTAAATACCTGGAAAAGTCAGATTTTCATGATATGTCACCTTTAAATGACAGAAAACTGTATATTCCTAATAAACAGCTGAGGGAGTGACAGCAAATTTGACATCTTTCTCTCTTCTGACCAATCTTTCAATAATTTAAAAAATTTTGTCTTTTGGAAAGTCGTAGGAACACTATAGTGGATTTTTCTTCTGCGAAGCAGCAAAAGGAAACATACAAATTATATTTGTTGCTGTTTCTGTTCACCACTATCCAAATTTACCCAACTATGACAACTTCCACTTGTGAGAACCTCAGAAAACTCAAGGTCAGTTTGATTGTATGACCATAATGTGAAGGAATGGCTAATAAGATGTTGCTAGAATACATATGACATCATACAGACACACTAATTATTGATTAACTGATTATGACCATTAAAAACACTTTTTGGTTAAAGACGACGACTTAAAATGCCTGACACTGTCAGACCTTAATCGACTGCTAAGATTCAATACAATTGCAAATAATTAGCCATTGCTAAACACGTCATACTTAGCAATCAAAAACTGATGATTTTGCCCTAAAACAAATAAGGAAGATTTGAAATTAATAATCTCTTACTGGCCTGGTGAACCAAAATGTACATAAAACAAACAAAACAAGCCCTACAATTTAATAAAATAACACATATCATACAGACTCTTCACATTTAATGGTATTGGATTTGATGATTGCGTTTAATAGATTGTGCTTTCAATAAAACATTTGCAATTGGTTTGAAATAGTGAATCATTTTGCAAAGCAATTGGTTTAGTTGGTTCAAAGTTCCTACCATCACTATTAACATCAAAGTTCATTCAAATTTGAGGTACAGCGGGTATAGAAAAGAATCAGCCCCTTTAAAATAATCACATTTTGTTGCTTTGCAGCCTGAAATGAAGACGGACACAGTTTTTGTTTTACCCAGCTGCATTTACTCAGTGCAACTTATAACATCCATGTGAAAGATATAACACCAACATGTCAAAAACAGGGGGTGATTCTTTTCCATATCCACTGTACAATCTTTTAGACAAACAAAGAAGGTTCATAGACTAATTTCATGCTGCTATGAATATGAAATCAACAACACATGTGATTCAATAAAAAGAGGATTTGGTCTTACCAGAGAAAACATGCCACTTGTGGAATAATGAATGAGGGAAACACATCACTCAATATAGCTGCTAAAGAACAGGAAGTCACTTTTTAATTACACCTGGGCTGCGTTCAGCCCCGACAAAACGGTGCAAAACGTTTTTTAAACGGAAACGGTGGTGCGTTGAACACCCTGTTCTGATGACGCAAGAGTTGCAACTATGGCAGCACATATATAAGAAATATATAAATATGTATAGTATTTTTATGTTACATTAATCAGTGTCTAGCACACCTTCCTAAGGAAAGGATATGGACCAGAAGACATTGCAATTACTAAATGATATTTAGACAGACTTAAAGAAGTTCCAGATCTATACTTGTGCTCTTATTATTTCAGTTATTTTGCCTTTAATGTAAATAAACATGTGCAAACAATATACAGGTACTTGCTCTTGTGAATTTATTTTGATGTTAATTACATTGTGCTAGCTGTCTCTTTAATACCGCGTGGTTTACATACATGTTGCTGCTGATTGGGGCTGACATTTTTGACACACCCACCAAACAAGAGAAAACGTATCTCAAACCCCGTTGCACACCGTTTCCAGGAAACATGTCGTTCAACCCGGAAACCGTAGCAAAACGTTGCACACCGGTTTGAGCTTGAACTTGCCCCTGCAGTTTTCAAAATGACTGCTGGATGAACGGACTTCCTGTGCTCACAAAGTACAAACACTACATTACCCATAATGCAGCGCAGCAGGGTCAATTTTGGTGCCTTCGAGTCCAATTTGGTAGTTACACATTTTTTCCTCTCTTTTTTATTTCTCAAGAAAGACAGGAAACTATAGCTAAAAGTTAAATGTAAATGTTGTGTAATTCATTCTTTGTGTATATTTAAGCATGCTTGCACTGGTGCAAAATGAGTTTTTCATTTTCGGGCAGGCTTCATTGCTGTTTTTCAACAACAATATACAAATTGCATTGAAATTAATTAAATCTGGTGGCGTTCATGTGCGTTTATCTTTTAAACACACTGTCTGTTGAAGTTTGAGTCATTTTCCAAGAAAACACCATTTCAGTCTTTCTACTTAAAATGTTCAACATGTTACTTGGTGGTGAAATTTACTAACAATTTCTGAGTGAAAACGGTTTCTACACCAGATTTTTGTGGCATTCTGGTTTTGAATTCTGGCAGCTTTTTGGTTTGGCTTGACAAAGCAGACTGGAGTAAGGTGAACTTCCAAGAGCAGATTTGCGCAATCTTGGACTGAAGAAAGACACGAGCAGTGTCAGATCTTACCGTACAGATGTCTTGGCGTGATCATAACACCTGCCCTCTTCTGCTACAGGTGTGCTGGCAAACTGTCGCAGTCATGAACAGAAGCTGGGGATGAAGATGACATCTGGAAGCAGCTGAAGCTGTCAGGCTTCATGTCTCCATCCTCCCCTGAGGGAGGACAAGAAGATGAGTGTCACCAATCATCACTCCTTCAACATCCTGACCATCATCTTCCTCGTTCTGTCTACTACAGGTAAGAGGACGTGGGCAGATGGTTTGGTTGGACGTACATACGCAACAGCGGTTCATTATGTACCTGCTGTCTGAATTCTGCTGACAGAAGCAAACTGAGGCATCAGAAACCCTGAGAAATATCTCAAACTGACATAATATTCAAAAGCACTTGGATGTTTCTTCAACTATAGGTACTTTTGGGCCTGTGAAGAATTAGAAAGTAAACAATATTATTGATTATACTGTAAATATAATATTTCCACACATTTGGATTATTTTAAATTATTTGATACAGTATATACATTTATTCACTTAATTTAATTAAAAATGCTCAAAATATATTTAATATAAAATTATCTTTATTAGGTGCAAATTATAATTTGTGCAAAAATGTATTTAATTTGTTTTATTTAATCACAGTAAAAAAAATCATTTTTTCATTTCATTTTCATGTGTTGATTTTAATTCTTTGTATAGCTTTAAAAATGTAGTAATTAACATTTTTATATGGGGAAAAGGCATTAAAGACATGGTTCAAGACGACAACAAAGTTGAGTTTTATCTTTTAATTTTTCACTTTTGGATAACTTTATTTGATAATGCATTAATTTATTAAATTGAAAATCGAATTTTTATAAGAGCATTTAACTTTGTTAGGTGCAAACTGATAGATTTTTCTCTATTTTTTTAGCAAAAATTGATTTAATTATTTTATAATAGAAATATTACATTTTAAAACTATAATAAGAATTACATTCTAATAATATAATATATAATTCTTATATATATTCTTTTATTTAATTCTTAAAAATGTAATTTATTTTTATTATGGGGAAAAGGGGTAAAACATTAAATAGAAAAAATAAATGATGAAGACATGGTTTGTTAGGTGCAAACTGATAGATTTTTCTCTATTTTTTTAGCAAAAATTGATTTAATTATTTTATAATAGAAATATTACATTTTAAAACTATAATAAGAATTACATTCTAATAATATAATATATAATTCTTATATATATATTCTTTTATTTAATTCTTAAAAATGTAATCCATTTTTATTATGGGGAAAAGGGGTAAAACATTAAATAGAAAAAATAAATGATGAAGACATGGTTTAAGACAGATTTAAAGTGACCACAACAGAGTTGAAATCCATTTGTTTCAATAAAAATCAACCCGTGGGACATAAAGGTGCCTGTAGATGAAGAAGCATCCTCTTATCAGATTTACCGCTCTCATACGGACATTCTTTTCCCAGAATCTCTGAGCAGTCCAATTTGTTTCATCCATTGTCCATCTGTGTCTCACTGAGCTTTAGATGGTGTCTCACTGTGAGTTCTGCCTCCGCTGGGAGACTGAAGCTTCCATAACATTGATCGGGTGTGAGATTACAGGTCATAAAGCTGGATCAAATCGAAAAACCTCTTTAATTATTAAAGACAGGCGTGAGTCATTCTCTCTGCAGCAGAGTTTAAAGCCTTGGACAGCAAGGAGAAAATCATCATGAAACAAACAACGATGGTGTCACGACTCTTTAGATATGTGACGTGGTGAATATCAAAATATCATTAAAAAATAAAACCACGCATACACAAACACATATACATGGATCTAAGGCGAGACATCCTGTGATTCTTAAACAGTCTTTTAATGTCATCTAATGATTCTGGTTCTAAATATGCCTGATTTGTAGTTTGCATATTTATATTTTTTTGTTATATGAAGTATTGTTACACCGAATGACATCTTTTCTGTAAATCATGTTAAAAATGCATGATAGTCATGCTCAGAATTGTTTTTTTTTAATTAAATACATTCTAATTAAAGAAAATTTTAAAGAAAAATGAAAAAATTAAAGGAAAGAAATTTAAAGCTGTATTAAACTTTTACTGTTTTGATGCTTTAAAATCCCTTTTTGTCTTTTTGACTTTGATTTCATATTTCATACACACACACACACACACATACTCTTTTTTAGGGCCTCAAAGCTAAATTCACTAGAACTTCACAACATTCACTAGAAGTGTTAACTTACTTAAAGAACTTAAGGACAAGCTTTTAAAAAAAAAAAACGTTTTATGACACTTATAATATGAAGTGAAGTTAAATATAAACTGAAAAATAAATGCCAGCACTTATGTTTTGTTCATAACGTATGGTTGAATGTATGAATGAATGATGCATTTATATAGTGCTTTATTGTGTATTGTTGTACACCCAAAGCGCTTTACAATCATGTGGGGGGGTCTCCCCCTCTCAATATGCCTCTGGTTATAAGGCATATTGTTGCTATGGTTACCTCCTCAGGCGAACACGACTTCTGTTTGTGAGCAATGACTTCTTACTAACTTGCAATCAAACTTTGATTACTAAAACATTTTTAGTTTGAAAGAACGTTTTGTTTAGTACGTCTGCACCACCTATAAACGTATCCGAGCTATTGATTGAGATTCAAAACAAGTGCATGTGGTGCTGAGCGAGAAGAGAAGTAGGCTTTCCTATGCGATGTCTGTGAGCTGTTGTGTCTACTGGTTCTGTTCGAGTTGTTCGGGGTGAATCGTGTCAACATGGGTTAGTCGCTCAGACCTCGCTGTCACTCTCGGTTTTGAATTCAGAGATGAATAATGAAGCAGAACTATGACTGTCATACATTAAAAACAAGCCTTGTAGCATGGCTTTCGTGCATGTGCTCGAATCAGTGAGAAAATTATTACAGGCACGTTTTTATGCTTCAGAATAACATCCCGTTTCTGAGAGCTCCACTAAATGTGGTGAGCATCATTAAATCAGGGTGAATTATAACTGAAATGTACTAAAATGCATCTCTTATTAATTAAAAGACTTGGCTGAAGATCAGCCGTTTGAAATTGAACTGCTAGCTGAACTGCATGCAACAAAACACATTAAGTTGTGGTTCTCATGCAAGCGATGAATGTTCGAGTCCAGCCTGCAACATCCCCATGCCATTCATTTTTTACAATTGAAGCAAAAATGCCCAAAAATAACAAAGTAATCATGAATCTGACATTTGCAATTCATTTTACTTATTATATTATTATTATCAGAGATGTATTATATTACATTAACAATCGCACATCACACGCTCACTGTCCTATCTATCATTGTCTTTCCGCACAGCTCTCTCTGCTCATTTTCGGGTGTGTGAGCCTTACACCGACCACAAAGGGCGCTACCACTTTGGATTCCACTGTCCTCGTCTCTCAGACAACAAGACGTACATGTTCTGCTGCCACCATAACAACACGGCCTTCAAGTACTGCTGCAACGATACTGAGTTTCAAACAGTCATGCAGGTCAACCTGACCACGTCTCCAGACGGCTACGCTCACAAGTGAGTCTCCTGCCTTCAGCTACAAACACAGTGTTGACTTGACATTATCATACCAGGGAAAAGCTGCACAAAGTCATTTCTATCTTATGATTCAATACAGTGATCCTGGAGTTTATATTGACAGCCTGGTTGCAACAACACACATACAATATGATTTTGGTAACCAGTGCTAGTTGTATTTCTCAGCTATTATTTTTCCCCAATAAAAGGGTCCAAACAAGTAAAGGATTACAGACAACGGGAGTAGTATACGGTGGTCATGTGATCTCAACATAGTACTATAAATAAAAACAACAGAATTTGATTTGATTGGATTGCTATTACTAACATTACTATTACATATGTAATGCATAATGTACAAAAAGACCATCATATTTCTAGTTATTACTTATATTATGTACCTAGCTACCTAGATAGCAGCAAACTTCACTTTTTTTATATGGAATAAGTTATCATAGTACTCAT